CTCTTCGTTCAGGCCCTTCTTTAATCTTTGAAGGCTCATAGTCCCTGTTACCCCTCTAGACACTGCGTTCTCTAAGCTGGGCTACTTGTGTTCCTATAGTCTCTAAAAGTACGAACAGGAGCAGAGCTTCAGTTACCAAAGCTCCTCTCCTGTGGACCAGCTATCAGTTGGTGTTCTGGGAGGCAGACACCCCTCTCCACATTTAAGAGTAGGGCTTAAGACATTTCTCTTTGATAAAGCTTATAGTTAGGGCTGGATCAGGTGGAGTCCTGAAACCAATCCCTTAGTTATTGCTGCTATAGGCTTAGACTATCGGGGGATTTCCATGGTGCACTGAGCTCTACTCTTCTCTCTCTGCTCTTTCTGCACTCATTCATGTCATTAATGCATGTTTACTAACTTCACGTTTTACGGGCAGTCTTGTTGTTTGTCGTCCTGCAGGGTTACTCCATGCGATCCTGGTGGAGCGCCTCCTGCATGGTCCTGCTAGACTACCAATTGCTGAATATCACTGCCTATATCTTGTCTCGCACTTATCTATCTACGTTACTTACTTAACGGTACTCGTCATTACTTGTACAGTATACTGTGTCGGCTGCTCGCTGTCCCCTGTCGTTGCTGCTGTCATCGTCACTCGTCTCTTCCCATGAATCGTCATCCGATCATTAACCTACATTAACTGTAGTCTGTTGTACTGTTGCTTGCCTCGCTACAATCTGTTTGTCTCTCTGTCTCTTGTCTTCCGTCATCTCTTCTTCTCCTCTGTCCTAGGTTTCTGCCTGTTAATATGGCATCGTTTTTCCTGTGCTCCCTCCCTGTCTCTCGTCCAAATGTCTTTGTCTCTTGGTTCGTACTGTTTGTGGTCTTCTGATAATGTAAAGGAGTTCTGGTCTAGATCTGTCTCTATTTGAGAAAGTGTCCTGAGATAACTTCTGTTGATGAATTGTGCTGCTGCTATACAAATAAGAATTGAATTGAATTTTACTGTGTGTGGTGGGTGTATGTTGTGTGTTACTGTGTGTGTATGTGTGTGTTACTGTGTGTGTGTGTGGTGGTGTGTTACTGTGTGTGTGTCGTACTGTGTGTGTGTCTGTTGTTACTGTGTGTTGTGTGTGTGTCTTGTTATTGTGTGTGTGTGAGTTACGTGTGTGTCTGTGTTAACTGTGGGTGTGTACTGGTTTTGCGGATATTTTTTTTTTATTATTATTTTTGTATTATTAATAATTGTTTTATTATGTATGTCTTCCATGTTATGCTTCGTCCATGTATGTTGATCATAGTTAATTCTGCTGTACTTGTTTATTTTTATTATTTATTGTGTTACTGTTGTTGTTGGGTGTGGTGTTAGTGTTTTACTTGGTGTGTTGAATTTAATAGTTATCTTGTGTCTGGTATAATATTATTTAATATAATATAATACAGTGATCTTACAAAAAGGTGTTAGGATCTCCTGTTTAGTTTCTAATTACATTATAATTAACTGTGTTTATTAATAGTGTCACAATATCTTCTATGTTTAGATCTGCACTGCAGTGTGTAC